TGACCAGCTCTGCCATAAGCGAATCATTCACCCAGGGACTGAGCGCTCCATGCCCAGCAACCAGTGAGAGAGTAAACGGCTTCGGAAACCTTTTCCTTGTGACTGTGATTTGGGTGGCTACAGCACGTGTCATTGTGCGATATGAAAACACTCCCTTGTGTGTGGGCTGCAGCTGTGTATTAGTTGGCTAGAAATACAATATGTTCTACTCATAAATGATCTAATGCTCCTCAAGTATTTATTATATAGAAATGTTGAGTGTTAGGACTGTGTCTGTCAAACTTGTGCCGTGTGGTTAATCACCAGGCTCTTCTGCTACTCAGTGTTTGCTTAGTTCTGAGTTCTGCTTAGTAGTTGCAAATGTCATTTGAAAGGATTTGAGAGTCTTCTTTTTCTGTGACCATTTCCAATGTCTGATCAATTCATTTAATAAACGACAAAATGTTAATTCAACTGAAACCCTATTTAAGGAAGTGAAAATTGAAATCATACTGTTCCAGTGTCTTTGCTTGCACTGTATTATTGTGCCTTCACCAGAGAAAATCAGCTCAGTCCAATCTCAGCAGTGACTTCAAATGCTGGCCTTACACTGACCTGCAGACTTCAAAGCTTGATCAAGCCTTCCCCAGACAAGGAATACTGTGGTTCAGGCAATTTGTTAAACAGGAGAGAGGTTTAGTGTGATTTGGGAGTGAAAGGATGCTTCAGTAGTCCTGGCTAACCCAGAGCTCAGCCACTCAGGACCCGAGAGAAGCACTGGGGATCCACCACCACTATAATAAAAAAGAAAACTGTAACTATTGCTGCTTGGCTCAGAAAAACAGGCAACGTTTGTTTTCCCAGGGAAGAAAAGTTCATTATGGCCATACTGTAAATCAAAGTCTGTGTTTTTCTTAACATAGATGTATGAAGTGTTTGTCTAAATACTGGAAATTTCGAGAGGTGGGCAAAGGAAGCTCTTGTTTTTTTTTTTTTGCTTTTCAGCATTTGAAAATCCTCTGATGCTGCCTAAAATGTGTAAAAAGTTATTTGTGTGTATGTATATGTGTATGTATGTGTGTGTTACTTTTGATTTTTTAATGTTGATCAAAAGAGAAATGAATCCATATATAATAAAAACCTTGTTGAGATGGTTTATATATATATATATATATATATCTATAATGTATGTGTATAAACTGAAAAAACACCACAATAAGTCTTTTAGGTCTAGCATGCAGGGCACACACCCAGGATAGCTGCCAGAGAGAGAGAGGGTGAGAGAGAGGAAGATAAAGGAATAAAGACAGAAATGGGGCGATGGTGGGGGTGGGTACCTCAAGGCTTTTTGCCAGCTATGGAACAACAAAAATCTATTGCTTGAGTCACAGAAAGATACGCTTCTTGTTCACAGTATGGGCCTGAGTCTCATCTAAATGCCTTCTCTGTGAAATACAAGCTTCAATCGACTCATTGACTCTGGTGTCAGCCAAACAAGTCTGAAATGTATCAGACAGGGAGACAGACATTTTACAAACAGTTGGTTTGTTTTCATAAAGGGAAAAAGGCCAGGAAAAAAGTTGCTTCCAGATATTTTCCTAAGTAACATTTCTGCAATATGAAACTAAATCAGAATTGAAGTAGCATAGATTTTATTTTCATGGTAATTAAATTCTCCTTCTTCATCAACCTATTTGAAATCATCCTGCAATTTGGAAGTTGTGTTTTCCTAAGATTACGTACTGCAGGCATTTAAAAATACATGTGTTCTATTTTCAAGATGTTTCATTTTAATCATTTTCAGAAGAGGAAAGTCCAAACCACTCCCTTGATGAGTATGTACAGTTTGACATGAGCACTGTATTTACCTCCAGTAATCGTCACAGTTGGCTGAAACCTGTCAAGTTAAGATGTATGAGCGGGTATATAAAACGGACATAATTTCATGGTAAAGATGGGAAATGTTATTGCTGTTTGATTATTGAACCTTTTGGGGCAATTGCAAAAGTCTTTACTCCGGATTAGCATTCGGGTTAAACCCAATTATTTATGTGAACACCAAAATGATGTTTTGAAATCTGTCTCCCCCCTTTAAACACTGTAAACAAAGGCTATCAATCATAACCCCTGACAGCTGTAATTGCTACCAGAGATGGCGAGTCTGCTCACTCACTACTGCATTAAGACATCGTTCAGTCCCACAGTATTCTGTGCCAGTCTCATCAAACAACAAAGTATCATGTTTAAGTGCACGCTAATCCATTTCCATTCATGTAAACTTTTAAACTGTTGTGTTTTTTCTGTTTATAGGAACTGATTTCCTAATTATCTAAGCCTTTTAATATTATGAGCAACTCGTGTGTCATCTGGGACTTTATGACCCAGTGAATTTGGCAGTCCAAAAAGTCATTCTTTGTCTTGACTTGTTCAGTCTTTGTGAGTTCACTGTGGATATGAACATCAGACAAAATTAGTCGACAATCAGTCTTTGCTTTCTCATCCAGTTGCACTTAAGTTTTTTTCTTTTTTTGTACGTCACGTCTTCAAAATTTGCAGCGCATCACCTCATTTCTACATAAATCAGTGTCATGTTGTTGCCTGTAATACCTCTCACTCTTTTTTCCCCGATATCCCTCCGGTCTTATGATCTGTATTGATTGAATCTTAGACAATATATCATGCAAACTTTAATGCTTTAATTTTCTTATTTTTATTTTATTTATTTCTTATTAAAAGTGATGCTTATGACATCTACAGATGATTTGCCAATTTGTAAGCCTCTTTGTCTGTTTTGTGCTATGTGAAGAAACTATTATTGTATTGTATTATATTCTGTGTTAAATACCATGAGGCTCTCTCTATCATATATACAGGACGTAGTTGATATTCAAGCAGTGGGAGTAGGGGAGGAAGCAGAGACGGTGCTCACTGACTCCTTTCACATTAATGAATGGAGAGCCATAGATTTTATAGAGCCAGGCTGTATTGACCTGTGGCTGACATCTACTTTTTAGTTTCATAACATAATCAGCACTTGACACATGATTATAATAACCCAATGCAATTTACTGCATTCTCTGCAAACACATTGATTTTTTTGAACAGCTCCCAGAACCAATTACATTAATATTGCTGCATAATTAGTTTACACATTACTAAATTACTGACAGATTAAAAGTGAAATACCACAGTTCATACCCTGCCCACATAACTGCCAGAGAGGAAATTAATATGGATTCAAAAGGTCCTCAGAGGCATGAGCAGTAAAAGGGGGAAAAAAGCAACAATCTATAAGGCATGCTTGCATAAGGATATCCTCTCTGCAGGCATGCCAGGTGTTGGTTTCAGCAGGGGCATTCAGGCCCGGGCAATTAATATGGTCTTTAATTAGATTTGCATATGAATATCGATAGGCCCTGGTCCTATGGGGAGGGTTACAGTACTCTCAGCTTAGAGGAGTGTGTGTAAGACTACTGAGGCTGCCCATGCTTATCGCCTGATTATCAAAGCCTCCCTTTCAAGTCAGGCTCAGACATGGCCTCATTTAATCCCAGTACTTCTTATATTATGTTCATATATATATATATATATATATATATTTACAGTAGAAGTGTTGATGAGTAGCCTTTAGCACATGGCACTAGCTGCTTTTATTTGGGAATTGGTAAAGGAGCATAGTTCATGCTGGAAAACCATTGCCTCTGTAAATCCATCTGTCCTTCTTTATTGCACTTCACTTTCTAGTTCGGAGAAGTTTGGTGGCTGGCAGATGAGCTGCTTGATGGCACACTAACTTTTCAGCAGAAATGTATTGCTCTGACCTTTGATGTCCACATTGATCCAATGCACTGAGTGGCCATTTCCCCAGAAACAAACATATATAATTGGTATTGGGTTCCAATGGTGCTCTTTCAATGTCTTGGGGATGCTTTGCAGCAATATAAATCAATTCACACTTATAGACACAATATGGATGCATTAGTGCTGACTGGTCATTTGAGAATGGCTGAGAGGTAAGCATTCAATAGACCTTGATCAGGCACAACCAATCTATCTTCATCAATCCTCAACTTCTAATTCACATAGAAGCTCAAGATGTAATCATAATGTATTTTACTTAATGAGTTATTTTTTTCTGTATATGTTTGTACCAATCAAAAGAAAACACCTAAAAGAAGAGGCTGTGAACAGGTGCTCTCTAAACAAAATGGATAATATGCCATGTTTAAGCTATGTTTAACATAACAGGGACTATGAACATATGGATAAAAAAAACTGTGTTGTGTCATTACACATAAACAACCGCTCTAAGTTGTGTACTTTTTTTTATATCCTGACCATGCTTTGAGGTGTTAACAGGTTGTGATAAATTTTGGACTGTTAGATTGTAGCTTTGTTGCTTAAAATACTAAATTCTGCCATCCTTATTGTGAGGAGGTAATGATCTATCTATTTTGCAGAAGCACTGCATGTTAGGTAACCTCAGGATTAACATGCATCGATGCCTCTGATACCTTTGTCTATATACGGCCACGTAAATGACCTCTTCGCAACGAGTCAGTAATACAAACATTGCTTGTGCACCAGATCTTCACAAATCTCTGAGGTGATGTCGCTTAGTTACTTCACTTACGTTCCTGCAGTAAAAAGAAATAGACATCCACCTAACTTTGAATAATACATTTCCATAATTCCCCCACTTTCCTCTAAAAGATATTGATTCTCTTCATTTTCCCAACATCTCCTGAGCCCTCTGGTCTTGTTGGTTTTCATATCAGTCTTTGAAGTTAGCTGAATAGACCCAAAGTAAAGATCTTAATTCTCCTTGAAGTTCTTTGGCTGTGGTGTATGAGATGTGGGTTTACTGAGGAGGACCACAGTAGAATCTCTTCATCATGTCTCTCAGTGCTGTGGGATTTAGCACACTACTACAACAAATGTCTCCGTTCCTTGACCACATCAGGATTATAACAGATAGATCATGGACTTATAGAAACAAATATTGTACATCATCTTATGACGACCATTGCTAAGAAAAATGTACACTCACATATTTATTGTTAAAGTATTGTCATACAACTGCTGCTCAAATACACAATAGTACACACATTATGGACATAAAGTTAATTGCATATTAAGTTCAGTTCTGCAGTTTACATTTGATTTATTCCTCAAAATGAGTAGCGGAGAAAAATATTTCTGAATTGCACACAGTCATTTCTATTTTGTTTGAGAGAAAAGGAAAAAAGCCATATTTTAATTTTAGGTATGATCTCTGTGTCCGGGGTAACAGTGGTTTTATTGGTCAGTGCTGCAGAGGTTGGGCACTAGTTGTTACCTGTCCACTATGCAGCCCTTCTGTTTACTCAGCTGTAGGGCCTCTGCCTCCAGTGGAAGGGCAAAAGCAACAGGTCACTAAATATTTCATTTCCCAAGTAAAACATGCTTCCCCTCGTCAGCTGCAAAAAAGAAACAGATCACAGTGATGAATGTGCAATCAGGCTGATTAACTCGTTATTAGTTGTCCACGGGATCCACTGAAGGAAATGAGGGCAAGAACGAAAACGGTTGTTTATATGTCTCATGGTCAGAGTTATGAATGTGATGTGAGGAAGAGGCCTCCATGAACTTTTACCTCTCTAAGTTAGTGATTTAAAGTTGAATTATGACGCTGACATACAGTACTTGTTCTCACCATCTGGGTCTTTCTTATTCAGCCACGTAGGATTTTTGATTTTTTTTTATCCAAAGCACCAAACAATACCTTAAATACATATCGAATGAATGACCCTAAATGGGTATTACACACAAACACTTACTCTGTGCCCATTTTTCTACCAACCTTTCTCAGAGTTTTCCTCTTTGCTTCTTTTTCATTCTTTTCTAGGACTCTGTGTATACCAGCAGATGGTGCTGCAATCTCTTTGCACTGCATCCACGCTAGAGCTAGACACCGTATGCTCTCCCGGTCTCCCACAGACATTCACTGCACACTTTTAAAAGGAAAAAAAAATAAAGTCGAGCTTAGTTCCTGTGCTGAGGCAAATGTTTGTTGAAATAAGTGGAGATTTCCTGGTTTTCTTTTTGCAGGAAAAAAAGGAAAGAAGGAAAGTTTCTTTATAGGATGAGCTCGGGGTGTTCTGCAATTACACTTACTTGTGCTCTTGCTCTTTTTTCCCCCTCGCTGAGTAGGAACAGACAATGTTTTCCATTCCAGTTGCCTCTTACAGTTGCAGAGAGGGTGCTGGTGGGCTCTGTGTTGGGGCTTTTACTGTTGTGGAACATGGTGGGTAGGATGGCTGGGCCAAATATCACAGCTAGTATGGATGGTGGGAGGCATTATGGACGTAAGTAAGAGCAGCACTAACATCTTTCTTTATAAGTGGACTGAAAGGAGAGGGTGAGGAGAGAGCATGCTGGATTTCTTGTAAAGAGGTTAATAATTAAGCTTCTGAGCATCTGCCAGGACCTTGTTGTTTCTAATTGAAGAAATAGGTTATGTTGATGTTGTAGTCATAATATATTATATTATATAAATTAGTGTTTTAATTATTATTCTCTGTTTTTTTTGTTTTTTTTTACTTTATGTTAGAGTTCTCTTAATATTTATTATTATGATTATTGAGTCAGTGTTTTTTGTAGAACACCTGTGAGTTGTGAAACAGATAACATTTGCTTTTCACACCATTAGGGGAGGTGTAGGCTGACCAGGAGAAGAGAGGTGTGTGTGTGTGTGTGTGTGTGTGTGTGTGTGTGTGTGTGTGTGTGTGTGTGTGTGTGTGTGTGTGTGTGTGGCGCGCGTGTATGCGTGCGCACGCACGCGTGTAAAGAGAGGAGGGGTGCTGTGGGTTGGGGGGTGGGGGACCGTAGCGTGTAAGCTATTGAAAAGAGGAATGTGAGAGAGCATTATTGCCCACACTTCATGTGAATGGAAAAGGGGTTAAAGAAATGACAGCGTACAGTGGGTGGTAGGGCCTCAGCGCAGCCTGTGAGGAAATGGAATGAGAAAGTGCAGTCAGGCAGACCACTCATTCACCATGACAAATGGGAGAGGCCTAGGCCAAGGGGATACCTGATACCCCACGGTGGGCTGTGTGCACCTGCCTGAGCTCCATGTGCGCCAAAGTGCAAATGAACCTCAGCCACTTGTAGCAGCACACCTCCATTGATTGCAGAATTTGATATTAATTAAATGAATGGTTAATGATGAAGTGGTTGCAAAAAATTGATGTTATTTAGATTTCAGTCTTAATGCTATGGTTTTTCCCCTCTCTCTTTTCAAATTAATAATACACGTACCCTTAAGTTATTTTTGTCAGTCCTAGTTAGTGTGAAGAAAAACACACGGCAGGAATGAGAGCATGAAGAAGTAAAAGACATATTACTGTTAGCATGTATGTATACACATTATTTTGCAATTAGCCACTGTCACCACTGTTTCATGAAGTAATATTTTCTATTAATTGTGTGAAAAATACTTAAAAGATAAATATATGTAATTTAAATCAAGGAGATTGTTTATGGAATAATCTTGGATATAGCCATTCAGTGCAGTTTTCTCAAATAATAAATAAGATATATAAAAGTTTTGAAACACTGTTCACATCAGGAATCGTTACATTTGAAAAGACAAAATTAGTAAACTCACATGTATATGTGTATGTACTGCTGTTGCTCTGTTAGTTGAAGTTTTTTCTTGTGTTTACTTGTGTTTTAAGGCGTATTGACACACCACTATAAAACAGTTAGTTATCCAAAGACTGGAACATTTGAAGAATTAATTATTTCAGTGAATATCAGTATATATTATTGCTGTTTTCTCTTTTTAAGGTTTTTTATTTTTATTTAACATGTTACATACATCAAAATATTGCAAAATTACAAAGAAACAAAACAAATTGTAAACTGTAAAATAACTGCAATAATAGAAAATCTTCCCAATTAGTTACTCACAAATAATTATTTACATTTCATTTTTAATACTAGTAATTTATATCAGTTCGTACAACAAATAAAACTTAATAAAGCTTGATAATTCTTCATCCACCTACGGGTCCAAAGGCATTAATATGCTCACAAAGAGTTAACAAGTGTTTCAACAGGAGGTCACAAGCTGCATGTCATGAGGTTTCCATCTAAATTAAGTCATATATCAAATTCCAGTAGCATATTAAATCTTTGGGAACTGTTCAGAATTAGAGGGGTACTGCTATAATCCAATTGTGTAAGAGGACAGAACAAGAGACATTCGTAGGTAGCAGAAAATCAGTCTTCTGTTCACGTGGTCCAGAAAGTATACTCTGCCTCGGAGCTGTCACTCTTCCTAGAGCATCCAGGAAGGATTACTGACCTTCTCCCATGCAGGCAGATGAGCTGTGGTCACTCCAACACTGGTCAGTCTGTAGTGTCAGGGTGCAATGCAGCGTGCCATGAAAATACTCAATCTCTTCTCCCATTTCAGTGTTTAGATTGGGCTGTGGAATGGCCACAGGCTGACAGTAGTAAGGCCTGTTCGACTCAGAGGAGAAGAAAAACATACTGTTTTTCTCTGGCCAAACATGAGCTCACTCCTCTGGTCTTGTGTCTCTTTGTTAGATTTACAAGTATTCCATCATCCTAAAAGAGAACTGGTATTACTATATCACTTTTCTTTAAATTACCATTATTTTTTATTTACACAGCATCCTGTTACATTTCAACATGATTACATGTAAGACAACATAGGAAGGGAAGTGGCAGTCCCTCCACCAAGGGCACTATTTTCTTTTTCTAAACAACTGACACAGTATCACTGCCAATTAATGTAGAAAAAAAGAATAGACGGAATATTATCTGTTTCCACTGGTTTGGGCTAATGTGATCAATGGCTAAACTGTGTTTGTTAAATTGTAAGTGAGCTTAACCATTAACGTAGTGTAAAGCATCAATTTTGTTACTATGGTTACTTCCAGTCAAATAAAAGGCTGGGGTCTCACCAGCACTGGTAATAGCATGATGATTGAACTGTTTACTGGAACGAAGTTTTCCCCCCAAAAAACTTAAATTTAAACCGGAAGCTTATCAGTATTTTCTGTGGCCATAGTCTTAATATTAGACATAAATATAAAAGTACATTTTACACGTTGTATGTCAGTGGTGTGCATCTGGCTTATTTCTACGCTTTGTAATAGTTACTTGCTCAGTGTGTTTCACGCATTGTTTAGTCCTGCTGCACTGGTGGCTCTGTTTATGTGGTGCTCAGTGTTGTAGTAGCGGGTCAAGCTAATCCGGTCACTGCTGTCACTATTTCCTGCTGCCACAGAGGACAGGAACTGTACAACTCACCTCTTCACCTGCAGTAAGCTCAATACTGCTCCTCATAATAGGTAGATAGAGTAAAACAGTGTTGTGATTAATTCTTTATCATTTTAGACATTTTAATCTCCTTTTCCTTTAGGATTAAGGTGTTACTACAGGGAGCCACAGTGTTTTAATAAAATAGATATATATAATCGGGTGTGTGGGTATGTATGTCATTATTTTTTGACTTGCATGAATGCTTTTCCATGTTCCAGCAGAATTACAACCCTGCCAGCACATGGCTCATCCGTAGATAGCATTCTCCGACGTTTAAAACTTCTCCTTTCTGTGTGGACTTTGTATTATCTTCTCATCTATGTGTGAGTTTCCTCAGATTGCTCTGGCTTCCTCCATAGAAAAACACGTGTTGTTGTGTTTTTGGAATAATCTTGGCCTTGAACAGTTATCACGGCTTGCTTCACTACAGCTGCCCGCAGTTTCTGAAAGTAAGGAATTGTATAACTTTATTTTTATTAACTGTACAAATAGCCATGCACTGTTGTCACTGTATGGTATTTCTATGCATTTACCATCAAGCTGGCCGTGAGTGTGTTTTTATTCCTTAGCAGAGCATCTGGGTTAATCTCATATTAGTCAAGAAGGATCATTCTCACAAACAGCCTTAGACTTGTTTCATGGAACCATGGTCTAAATTACATTCATGGTGTCAGTGGATTACTGTGTATCACTTTAGAGACTCGATAATAAAAAGGTGGTAAAAATGAATTTCCAGTTTGTCAAAGGCTCACATGCTTGAAAACAGTGCACAAGAAAAACATCTAATATTGTTAAGATCTCAACTCAGGAGAGCATTCTGAATTCCCAGAATATACTACTGGTATGCATACAATTTGATTAGGCACCATGATAGCCTTTTCATTCTTAGTCATAAAGTTTGTATAATTAATTAGAAATCTAATTAGAATCTAATTAGAAATTCCCATAAGTCAGTTTATGTTATTAGGTTTAATGTTTTGATTTTACAGCCCTCACTTTGTGTTCTGAAAGTTGCCCATGACTGGCCCTGTGTGCAGCTATGCACTGTGTACATGTACTGTATGTATTAATGTTATTTGGTGTGTCCTGTGGTTTGCATTATTCAGTTGCACATTCTTTGCCCATTACACACACTCACCCTCTCACAGTTACTGTTTTATTTTCATACTGAAATGTATTTATTCGGGGAGGAACAGCGGGCGGCACGGACATCTGTTGCACTAATGCCCAACAGAGTAAACAATATGTTTTGAATTAAGATTTGACCTTGGAATAAGCCTTATCTTATTTATAAATCATAGTGAGTTAAATATGCTTTGTAAGTAGATTAGGTCATCTGGAGTCCCCCCCCTCCCCATAGTCTCTCAGCAATGAGAGATGTAATCCAGATTCATAATCCAATGATTCTTACAAGCTGTTTTGTGTTGTTAAATACTGGGTATTTGCGTTGATTTAATATCATTCTAATCTCCTTTAAACTGCCAGTTGCTGTCTGGTTCGTGGCCATCTTGTTTATTACTTGCTCTCTACTCTTTACTGCTACTATTTACTGTAGGAGTAGTAGGCTGGGTGGTGCTGAACCACTGATATGTTCACCGATGTGTGAAACTTTATTTTGATAATTTTACTGCATTCATTTTCAGATAGATTCTTGTGTAATGGTCTAATGTTTGAAAGAGTTTTGCTAACACCCTCTGATCATCTTCTTGCTAGATTTTGTATAAACACGGTTTGTGACGGTGATTAACTACGATTTTTTTGGTAGAAGCATTTACAAACTTCAGGCACCTTTTTTTTTTTTTTTACTGTTTTTTCCAGCCATCATTTTTGAAAAGCAGCGTCTTGGAGGAACAGCAGCATGCTATGGTGACAAACTCACTTCACTCCACTTATTTCATGACACACCATGAACAGTTTCATCCAATTAATTTGCTACAGTTAACCCCTAACTATATTATAGATCTTAAAAAAATGCAGATATAAAAAATGTAAACATTTTAGTGTTATGTGTAAAAATACCTTGAGTTATTTCACATTTAATTAATTTGGATAATTTTTTTCTTCCAGCTATTATTTAGAATCTTTCTTTATTGTAAAAACATGAATATGTAGTCTTATTCTGAGGATGCAGGTGGAGCTGTGTGTGTCTTTTTGTGTGTCTGGTCAGCTACATATCGCAGAAACAAAGCTTAGTAAAAGGTTTAGACAAGTTGAATTCAGTCCAGTTCAACAGGTGGTTCTGAGAATTTTGTCCTAATAGGTGTTTACTGTCATTTCTAATTTGCAATAATTGAGCCGTCATAAAGCTTAGTCTGATTCTTATCCTTGCTATTTTTATTTAGTTTTATAGTAAGTGGATTCTGCTGCCGGAAGATTTCTCCAGCGCTCTGACTCGCATGTCCAATATTATTAGTTGCTATGAGTTCAGCCTGTGCAAATCTGTTAATGCATAA